CATGGCGGAAGATTCACGAGCAGATGCATGAGGGCAGCACCCTCAAGGCGGCCATGCTGTCGGTAAGGCAGGACACATTGTTTTGGACACGTGAGGTCTATGAGAAGATCAGGACCTTCTCCAGGGGCCGCCCACAGACCAGGACATCCATGGACTACGCACCACCCCAGAAGGGCAAGAACAAGTCCAGGGGCAAGGGGAAGTCCAGGGGCAAGCCTGGGAGCAAAGGGAAAGGTAAGCCCCCCCAGCCGAACAATCAGGCCTCCAGGGGCAGTAACAAGCAGGCGGCCACCGATCCGAAAGGGAACCAGTTCTGTAACAACTGGATGCGCGGGCGCTGCCCGGGCAACTGCGGACGCACGCACAAGTGCAACCTCATCCTGGCGACGGGCCGCATCTGCCTGGGAGACCACCTCCCGCAGGACTGCCCGGGTTGACTAGGGGCTCGGACCCCGACCCCCCGGGAGGCCTCAGGTGCCGAGGGCCCTGATAGGGCCCGGGGGGGCGAGAGGGGGCGAAAACGCCCCAAGCAGGCACATGAGCCCCCTCCTGCAGGTGCCGAGGGCCCTGACACAGGGGGGGGACAGGCCAGGCGGCGGCCCTCCTCGGCGGAACAAGGATGGGGACGACAGAACCAGCGTGCACAACACCCCAGCTGGGGTCAGAACAACCACACAGCTGACACAACGGCAACGCCGCGGCCCCGTGCCACAGGTGCCGAGGGCCCTGAGATGGCAGGGGCGGGACGGTTCCCCGCAGGTGCCAAGGGCCCTGACACGGGGGGCCGCGCCCAGCAGGCCCGAGTGCCGGACAACTGGCAGCACACCGCAACGCCGAGGAACACGCCCAGGAGGCAGCCGGTCCCACTTCCGGCGCCCAACATCATCAAGCAGGACCCGGTGGTTTTTCATAAGAGTTCTGTTGGGCTGAATGAAGGGGGCCAACGCTTTTCAGCTACCCCCCTGACAAGTCCCACGGAGCTGTCACCGGGAGGGGACACCTTCCCGTGGATGGAGAACATCCCGGAGCGCCTGGCACAGCGGCTGAGATGGACACAGGGCACATCGCCCAAAGTTCCATCCAGTGGGCCCATCATTGTCCTGCTCTATGCAGGCAAGGAAGACCCAACTTCCTTAGACAGCTGTCTTCATGCCAACTACCCGCACCTCTCCAGCATGGTGGTGGCAGTAGACATCCTACGATCCGGACCAAAAGGGAACCACGACATGCTCCAACCCGAGCTGTATGGAGCGCTCTGCACGGCAGCAAAGCAGGGCCGAGTGGTCTTCATTGGGGGAGGACCCAACTGCAGGACATGGTCCATCCTGCGCCACATACCAAAACCGGGGGCCCCCACCCCGGTGCGAGGACGCACTCGAGAGACACTTTGGGGCCTCCCACACCTGGACCAGGCCGCCCAGACTCAGCTTGATGAGGACAGTACCCTCATTTTGAGGCAGATGTACATCACCAGCCTGGCAAGGGCCTCAAGATCGGCGGCCTCGCTGCCAGGGCCAACATCCTTCTTGGAGCACCCGGAGGACCCAGTGGTGAGCAGCTCGCTGCCCAAAGCCAAGGAATGCTCATCCTTCTGGATCACGGAGGAGGGGCAGCTTTGGATGGAGGAAAACTCCTTGACAGCAATCTCCTTCGACCAGTGCCGCCTGGGCCAGCTGGTCAAGAAGGCCACCACACTGGCCACGGATCTCCCAATCCAGGACTGGGATCAAATGCGGTGCACACATCAGTCACATGTGGGCACCAGCGAGTCCTCGACTCTCAGCAGATACCCCTGGGATATGATGGCAGGCCTGGCCAAAGCCATCGCTGTGTCACTCGCAGCGCCGGGGCACATCCGGATCCCCTCACAATTCCCGGGAAACCCTAAGGAACCACCTAAGGGAAGGGGGTCGGACCCCCCTGGGGGCCCTTCTCCCCGGGGGAAACGGGGACCCAATCAGGGAGGCGGTCCCTCCTCGTCACACCAGGGCCCAGAGCCCGGAGGCAAGAATGCCCCGAAGCCCCGCCAGCACGGGCACATCCACCATGAGGCTGACACCGTAAGCCCTCGTGGAACTATGAGTCCAGACTTCCCATCTCCCATGCCCCCGATGGCCGGAGATGCGGAACAACTGGAAAAGGAAGAACATGGGGACCAGGTCCTGGACCGCCCCGAATTCCTGCCCGCTTTCCGGGTCCCACGCCTCACTGACCGAGTTGCGATTGTCCAATTGGGTTTCCGTTCACGCCCCCTGAGAGATGGGGGGGGAAACCTTCCCCGGGGAGGCTCAACCCCCCTTTTCGGAGAGTTTCCCCTTTGGCTACTTTGGGCGCCCTGATCATGACCCTTACCAGGCCCTGGATTGATAAGGTCCGGATGTCCCTGGCATCAGGTGCCACCACACACCCCTTCCAGGAAACCGACCTCGAGGAGCTGCGGGCTATCCTAGGACCGAGGCACCTCCATGAACGATGCCCAGGACAACCCTTCCTCCTGGACTTAGTGTCGCACTTGGCATCCCTTTCAGGTGACCCTGATTGGGAGTTCCCCCTGACACTGAAAGAGGGGGTCCCCTTGGGAGTCTCGGACCCTACCTTGACCTCCCCGGGAGTTTGGCCCACTAAGGAGGAGCTTAAGGGAGAAGCCTGGCTGGGGGAAGATCCCCCCCCGCCAGTGGCTCATGATAACTACCCAACGGCTGAACTCTTTGCCAAGGAAATCGAATCAACCTTTTACGAGGAACGAGCCTTGGTGGACGGGCCCTTCGCTCGCTCCGAGGCGGCAGAGAGGTGCCGCTGCAAACCGGAGGAACTTTGCCCGGGCCCCCTTGCAGGGATTGATGAGTCGGACAAGATCAGGACGATCTATGATGGCTCAAAAGGGGGAGCAAACGCACACATCCAGGCTCACACGGAGGAGAAGACCACCGCACCGATGGTTTGGAGACTGCCTCCATGCCATCCACTGGCTCAGGACAGCGGCGGACCATCCTCATCTACTCCGAGCCCCATCCTCGGGCACTGATGAGGAACCTCGGGATGTTCACCAGCCGGTGCAGGGGCAGTCCCCAGGTGCCGAGGGCCCTGAGAGGGACCCCCACAGCACCAGCCTGCCCCCAGGTGCCGAGGGCCCTGATAGGGGCAGGCGGATGATGGAGACCTCCCTGGACGTCTCTCCGCAGTCAACACTCCCAGGTGCCGAGGGCCCTGATAGGAGGGCCCCATTCCCCCCAACCCCCCCAGGCACGGAACGCCCTGGGGGGAGCAGGGGGGAACCCCTGACGTGGCAGCCGCCGACACAGGGGGAAACCTTCATCATCCTCAAGGCGGATGTCACCAAGGCCCACAGGCGCATAAAAGTGCTCCAGAAAGACTGGAAATACCAGGTGGCCTACATCCAGAACCGGTGGTGGGTCAATGGAGTGGGCACGTACGGCATGGCCTCGGCACAACTGTACTGGGGAAGAAAGGCATCCTTGGTGCTCAGACTCTTGTACTACATCTTCCCTCAGGTGGACTGGCACTTAGTTTTTGTGGACGACTACTGCTGGGTCCTCAGATGCAGCAGGGCGGACTGGGACGCCACAGCCACCCTGGCCACTCTTCTGGCGCTGGGAGTCCCGCTTTCTTGGAAGAAGACGGCGCTCTCCCCGGTCAATACCTGGTTGGGATTCGTGGTGGACCCAATCACGCCCTGTGTGCTGCTGGCTCCAGTCAAGCACGTCATAATCCTGGCCACTCTCAAACGGCTGGCCCAGGAAAACATCTTTACCAAGCAAGGAGGTGGAACAAGCCCTGGGCCGGATTCAATGGGCTACTTCGGCGTGTCTTTTGGAGCTGGAAGAAGGCCTGCACCACTTCGGGCAGGCCACCGAAGCTGGTTCGTGCTCTGGCCATCCTTCTGGGGAAGCTCTTCAACCAGAGGTTCCCACTGGCATCTCCATTTGCTCCCACACTTCCATGGACGGGGGCATCTGATGCGGGAGCTGGCAAACAGGCGGACCATGCATGGGTTGGTGGTTGGTGCTCAGACGTGCCCAACCCCGACAAGTCCCGAGTGAAGTGGTTCCAACACAGAATCACACCGGAGGGCGAGCCGTGGGCCTTCACTACTGGGGACCCGCAGCGGGCGATAGCGGCCTTGGAGCTCTTCGGCCTCCTCCGTTTGGTGAGGGCTGCTCTGCTTTGTGCAGCCGGCTCGGCTTCTCACACTAGGATTCTGGTTGCTAGTGATAACCAGGGAAACGTTTTCTCCCTGCTTAACGATTCCACTTGCAGGATGCCCAATGCGGCCATCCTCATGGAAATTGTGCTAACACTGCATGACCACCAGGTCATGTTAGGACCGTCGCATGTGAAGCGCGACTTTAACACATGGGCGGATGAACTTACTCATCCGGACCCGCAATTTCCGACTGAGAACCGGGTCTTCCCCTCAGTCGAAAGCGAATTGATCAAGCTGATCTTCGCTACTTTCCTTCCTCACCCATGATGCCGGGAGGGCATCCGGTGAGGTGGGAGGATTCCTCCCTCGCTGTGGGAGTGGCATCAATCCTACTCCCATCAGCTGCTGAGGGGAGCTGCCCAGTGGAACTGGGCAATCCTCCCATTTTGGCACTAACCCTTATGCGGCAATAAAGGAGGCACCGTTTTGCGAATAAGGCCTCAGTAGCACCTGAGTGGTGCTTCAAAGAGTCATACATAAATTCATTACATGAATTCATCGTGCGTGGACGCGTAGAGGTGGTTCAATTAGCAAACACAACTCCAGCAACCGTGGACCAGAAAGCAACAGCCGCACGGCAAGGTGTCATTGGTCAACAGACCAGGTCTGAACCTCTACGTCCGCTGTGAGATCGCAACACAACTTCAAGGATGATTCACTGAAATCTTTTGCAGGAGCTTTATATTCCTTAAAGAGACAAGACCGGTGGATTCTCCGACTTTAGTGTGAAACACGACCAACTTGAGTTTAGTGCCTTGCTGAAAACAGCGCTGAGGTCACCATTGCGCGGCGCATGGTGGCCACCTGTGGCTTCAGCAAGGCGGCTGCTGAGCTGCGGGGCTGCGGGGCTGCTGGGGGGGGGGGCTGCTGTTTGGGGTGTGCGAATCAGCGAGTTTGGGTGGAACGCCGCTGTGCGGCTTTGCGGCTGTTGGTGTGGTTGAGCCAGTGACTGCGGTTTAGATCGAGAAGTTCTGTCCCACGCGTTTGTTTGTCTTTTGCACAGGAGCTGGCTTACCATGCGTGCTGATTGCCAGTCGAGAGGTGGCGCGCTTCATCCTGCACAACTTCTGCAATGACTGGAGTGAGAAGGAGGCACAGCCCCGAAATGTGAATTGCCGGTGAGCAATGTAATTGCCAGGCTCTTTTTGTGGGCGAGAAGCCAAGTCACTTGATTTTCGATCGGTTTGTTGAATCCTTTTCCTCCCTCAAACCTGGAGGGTAGCTGCCTTAACCAGTCCCACGATTTCAACCGTGCGCTGCGTGGCATCAAGATGAGAACCAATGGGGTCCATCGCAGAACAGCGCCTGCTCGTCTCTTTGGTGGGATGGTTCCACGTTAATTTGCAGGAAAGTACCACCCTTACAGTCATTTTCTGAGTGAGTTGGGGTTGATAGGGCTGATCCCCATAACCACCATGAAGAATATCACGGAACAATAAGCCAATCGAGGTTTGGTAACTTGGCCCTCAGGTCCTGTCCAGTCACAAAAAGGGTCGAAGCACAGAATCTCTTCGGCTGTGGATTATTTTTTAGGTTTCCGGTGATGAATTTATTTGGTGATTCCAAAGGTTTCTCACGTTTCCGAATCTTGTGGACAAGTGTTTTGTGGTCGCCCAAGCCCCTGTCACCATCTACTGCATCAAACTTGCTTCTCCATGTTCACTCCCTCAGATCGAGACGGCGCCGCTGATGCGATGGCTGCTGGCCACCTACGGCGACTCTCTCAAGCCACTGGGGCTCAACACTCGCTGAACAACTGGTAAGCCGATGTGTGGCTAATTATGACCGCCGGCAACGCCACCACAACAACCACCACCACAACCGCCACCGCCAGACCACCACCAGCAGCAGCAGCAGCAACAGCAGCAAGAACAACAAGAACAATAACAAGAATAACAACAAGAACAACAACAAGAACAAGAACAACAACAACAACAACAACAACAACAACAACAACAACAACAACAACAACAACAACAACAACAACAACAACAACAACAACAACAACAACAACAACAACAACAACAACAACAACAACAACAACAACAACAACAACAACAACAACAACAACAACAACAACAACAACAACAACAACAACAACAACAACAACAACAACAACAACAACAACAACAACAACAACAACAACAACAACAGCAGCAGCAGCATCAGCAACAACAACAACAACAACAACAACAACACCAGCAACAGCAACAACAACAACAACAACAACAACAACAACAACAACAACAACAACAACAACAACAACAACGGTCCGACCGGTCGTCTGGCCGCGAACACCAACGCCCCGCCCCTTGACAAGGAGCTTTTGCACTGCAAAAACCAATGCATTCTAATCCAAAGCAGGAGATTTCTCAGGACGCTATTTTACACAAAAACGGCGTCCCAAACACTACAGTTCCACACGAACACACTTTGCATGTTGCAAGAAAAACACAGTTCCAAAGCAGAGAAGACCAACTACATATGTAAAAAACCATGTAAAATCCAAACAGTCTATACATATATATATATATACTCCAAACTTTACCAACTCAATATACATAATGTCATATAAAATCCAAATAGCCCATACACAGATGTATACCCTCAAACTTTAGCAACTCTATATAAATAAAGTCATCTAAAATCCAAATAGCCTTTATATACATATATATATCCCAAATCTTTACCAACTACATATATATAAAGCCATATAAAATCCAAATGGTCTATAGTGCCTGGCATGGATACAGTGGTGAGCGGGTGCGCTTGAACGTATACAGTGCTAAGCGGGTGCACTTGAACGGGTGTTCTTACCATGTGCCTGGCATGGATACAGTGCTGAGCGGGTGCACTTGAACGGGTGTGCTTACCATGTGCCTGGCATGGATACAGTGCTGAGCGGGTGCGCTTGAACAGGTGTTCTTACCATGTGCCTGGCATGGATACAGTGCTGAGCGGGTGCACTTGAACGGGTGTGCTTACCATGTGCCTGGCATGGATACAGTGCTGAGCGGGTGCACTTGAACGGGTGTTCTTACCATGTGCCTGGCATGGATACAGTGCTGAGCGGGTGCACTTGAACGGGTGTTCTTACCATTTGCCTGGCATGGATGCA